TGTATGTATATATATGTGTGTGTGTATATATATATATATATATAATATTCAATCAACAATGAGGGTGGCTATAGTATTACCTACAAGTAGATGTCAGAGACAACCTCTTTAAGTTATTTCAGAATTTAGTGGCATGAAATCTGAGCTATGTAACCTAACTTTGGAGCTCTGAGGGCATTAATAATGGGTTTTCTTCTTAAAGAGATGAGAACACCATACCACCTGAAAGAGGAGAGTGAAAAGTTGGCTTAAACCTCAACATTCAGAAAACTAAGATCATGGCATCTGGTCCCATCACTTCATGGCAAGTAGATGGGGAAACAGTGGAAACAGTGGCTGACTTTATTTTTATGGGTTCCAAAATCACTGCGGATGGTGATTGCAGGCATGAAATTAAAAGATGCTTGCTCCTTGGAAGGAAAGTTATGACCAACCCAGACAGCATATTAAAAAGCAGAGACATTACTTTTCCATCAAAGGTCCATCTAGTCAAGGCTATGGTTTTTCCAGTAGTCATGTATGGATGTGAGAGTTGGGCTATAAAGAAAGCTGAGCACTGAAGAATTGATGCTTTTGAACTGTGGTGTTGGAGAAGACTCTTGAGAGTCCCTTGGACTGCAAGGAGATCCAACCAGGATCCAACTGATCCATCCTAAAGGAGATCAGTCCTGGGTGTTCATTGGAGGGACTGATGTTGAAGCTGAAACTCCAATACTTTGGCCACATGATGCGGAGAGCTGACTCGTTTGAAAAGACCCTGATGCTGGGAAAGATTGAGGGCAGGAGGAGAAGGGGATGACAGAGGATGAGATGGTTGGATGGTATCACTGACACAATGAACATGGGTTTGGGTGGACTCCAGGAATTGGTGATGGACAGGGAGGCCTGGCATGCTGTGGTTCTTGGGGTCACAAAGAGTCAGACATGACTGAGTAACTGAACTGAACTGAACTGAACTGACCTGCCTCCTGAGAAATTGGTATGCAGGTCAAGAAGCAACAGTTAGAACTGGACATGGAACAATAGACTGGTTCAATTGGGAAAGGAGTATATCAAGGCTGTATATTGTCTCCCTGATTATTTAACTTATATACAGAATACATCATGAGAAATGCTGGACTGAATGAAGCACAATTTGGAATCTGGATTGCCCATAGAAATATCAGTAACCTCAGATACACATATGACACCACCTTTATGGCAGAAAGCAAAGAAGAACTAAAAAGTCTCTTGATGAAAGTGAAAGAGGAGAGTGAAATATTTGGCTTAAAACTCAACATTCAGAAAACTAAGATCACGGCATCTGGTCCCATCACTTCATGGCAAATAGATGGGGAAACAGTGGAAACAGTGACAGACTTTAATTTTGGGGCTCCAAAATCACTGCATAAGGTGACTGCACCCATGAAATTAAAAGACACTTGCTCCTTGGAAGAAAAGTTATGAACAACCTAGACAGCACATTAAAAAACAAAGACATTACTTTGCGGACAAAGGTCTGTCTAGTCAAAGCTATAGTGTTTCCAGTAGTCGTGTGTGGATGTGAGAGTTGGACTATAAAGAAAGTTGAGCTCCAAAGAATTGATGTTTTGAACTGTGGTGTTGGAGAAGACTCGTGAGAGTCTCTTGGACTGCAAGGAGATCCAACCAGTCCATCCTAAAAAAATCAGTCCTGAATATTGGCTGGAAGGACTGGTGCTGAAGCTCCAATATTTTGGCCACATGATACAAAGAACAGACTCATTTGAAAAGACCCTGATATTGAGAAAGATCGAAGGTGGGAGGAGAAGGGGACAACAGAGGATGAGATGGTTGGATGGCATCCCTGACGCGATGGACATGAGTTTGAGTAAATTCTGGGAGGTGGTGATGAACAGGGAGCCCTGAGGTGCTGCAGTCCATGGAGTCACAAAAAGTCAGACACAACTGAATGACTGAACTGAACTGAACTGAACTGAATGCATACCTAAGGAAAAAGCATTGGCTCAGCTTCTGTGGAGTCCTTCATTTTGATTTTACCTCTGCTTCCCAGGTTATCTTCCAGGCTGGGTTAGTCTTAAAAGGCCCTCACCTGGGGAGAGCCAAATTATTGAAACTGATTAATGTTATCCATCAAATGATAAGAGTCCGCTCAGTTCAGTTCAGTAGCTCAGTTATGTCCGACTCTTTGCGACCCCGTGAACTGTAGAACGCCAGGCCTCCATGTTCATCACCAACTCCCGGAGTTTACTTAAACTCATGTCCATTGAGTCAGTGATGCCATCCAACCATCTCTTCCTCTGTTGTCCCTTTCTTCTCCTGCCCTCAATCTTTCCCAGCATCAGGGCCTTTTCAAATGAGTCAGCTCTTCTCATCAGCTGGCCACAGTATTGGAGTTTCAGCTTCAAAATCAGTCCCTCCAGTGAACACCCAGGAGTGATCTCCTTTAGGATGGATCAGTTGGATCCTGGTTGGATCTCCTTGCAGTCCAAGGGACTCTCAAGAGTCTTCTCCAACACCACAGTTCAAAAGCATCAATTCTTCAGTGCTCAGCTTTCTTTATAGTCCAAGTCTCATATCCATACATGACTACTGGGAGTACCATATCCTTGACTAGATGGACCTTTGCTGACAAAGTAATGTCTCTGCTTTTTAATATGCTGTCTAGGTTGGTGATAATTTTCCTCCAAGGAGTAGGTGTCTTTTAAATTCATGGCTGCAATCACCATCTGCAATGATTTTGGAGCCCATTAAAATAAAGTCAGCCACTGTTTCCACTGTTTCCCCATCTACTTGCCATGAAGTGATGGGACCAGATGCCATGATCTTAGTTTTCTGAATGTTGAGTTTTAAGCCAATGAGTCTGCTAAAAAACTGTAATTTGAATGTTTTATTGACATTTTAGCAGGTTTTTATGACAACCAACAATGGCAAGCCAGGTGACTTAAGACCAGACTTAGAAGATGCTGGCAGAACCGCTTCCCATAAACATGAAAGTTGTAGCAGATAGAATGCATATTTAATGCAGTGGCTGTAACCAGTTGTTCATCTGTAGGTCTAATAGGAGAGAGGTCTGTCAGGCCTATCTTTTTCCACTAATGACTGGGAAGTATTGCTTCACAATCCCTCCTTCTTCGCTCTGGGTTTTATTTTGATACCACAGCAGATGTGGGGAAAACAGGAAAAGCACATGGGTGTCCATTCAGATAATACAGTTTGGTTCCCAAGTGCTCCTGAACACTGAGTCACAGTTCTGGACGTTTCCTCCTCCTTCCAGGCTCCTCCTGCTTGCGGCCAAGACTCTAGGATTTCCTGAGTATGAACCGCTCCTGCCCTTCTCCTTGAGCTGCAGTCCTGGGAAAACTTAGGACAACCACTTACCCTCCCATCTTTATGCCATATCTGTAAATGAATATGAAGTTCTTACTTTTCTCATTCACAAGATGGTTGTGAAGGTCCTCTGAGAAAACTGATCATGAAGAGCTGTGAAATGATAACCCAAGTCCCTGTGATACAGGCATGACCACCCCTAACGCATCCCTGAGAGATGCACCTGGGCCAGCTGCCCTGGCTGACAAGGTGGGGAGGCCCTGTGGTGGCGAGCACGGGATGCAGGTGCTGGTGCTGAGAGAGCACAGAACAACCAGTGCTAACTCAGACAGGCATATTAACGTCTCATCTCAGCTCCTTTTTGGTCAAAATTTCCATCAATTGTAGTTGCTGCCTGCAAGTTTTTCTTGCCACTCTTTCTATTTGTTAAACCAGCCTGTAAAATTCACCCATAAGTCTCTTCTTAGAATTGTCTGAAAATGTTCCTGAATTCTTCTCTGCTTCCCCAGCACTCTGCCTTGTGCAGATCACCATGAATTTTTATCTACCTGAGATCATAAACTTTGGAGGCCTTGGCCCAGACTGAACCTGCACATCCCCACCACCACACCCCACCTGTCATAGCAGGCAGACACTAAATGTCGATTGCATTCTTAAAAAGTAAGGGTATCATCCTTTTCCTGATAAAGATAGATGCTTAAAGCAGCAACAACAAATGATTTTGTTTTCTCTTCTACCTGCTCTCTTTTTTTGGACCAAGATAGAATAACCAAGGTAGAATAGTCTCATGGGATAATGTGATGGTTAAGAAAATACTCATGGAGCTCTTAGCCTATTGTCTTACATACAGTAAACACTTGGTAACTAGAATCTGCTGTTGTTATAATCATTAACCTTTGGAATAGGCATTTAAAATACTTACTATAATGATAGAAAGATGGCTGTGTATTGGGGCAAGCTTAAATATGGCATAAAGACTCATGACATGGACTTCCCAGTTTCGTGACTTAGGCTTTGCAGTATCCATCAAGTTGTTTTTCCTCTCCCTGTGCCTCACTCTCTCCATCTGTAAAATGAGACAATACTGTTACTAGATAGAGCTATGGTGAGGATTAATGAGTTAATACATGTGAAGGTTTGAAGGTATAGCTCTGTAGACAGTCAACACTCAGTAAGTATTAACTATGGATAGAAAATCTAGAAAGAGAAATTCCTACTTCCAAAGGTCAACATTTAAATTTTGTCCTACTTTTCTGGACACAGAACTTGTATTTAACCACTTCCTTATTCCTCCATGTATAGCTGAGGCATCTGGATTCCTCACCTGTGATACCTGCTCACTCATCTCTCTAGTAACACCTTCTGACTCCTGATAGTTTGGGATTCAGCTCCTACTCTCTGAGCCTCAAATATTCTCATCTGTTAAAAGTAGTAATGCCTGCCTCAAAGGGCTACTGACTGTATCACAAGAGCTGATACTTAGACAATTCTTACCATCCTGTTCGGCGTATGCACTAAGTATCATGAGGACCACCCATAATTTTCTTTATTTGAAAGGGAAAGCATTCCCTGCTGTCTCAACAAGTCTTTTTGAGGAAAGGAGTTTAATCCTAATAGAACAAATCATTACAGTTTATCTTTGACAAGTACCCTTCATAAGGAGGCCTCTACATCTATTTTTGCTGTTTCAGACATTTCTTCTTGTGATTGGTGTGGTGGGTGTGATGGTGGCTGCGATTCCTTGGATTGCTATACCTGTGATTCTGCTTGGCATCATTTTCTTTGTTCTCCGGTGGTATTTCTTAAGGACGTCACAAGATGTGAAACGCCTGGAATGTACAAGTGAGTACCAGGGCTCTCAGGTTGGGATGGGAGTGCAGGCTGGCTTCCATTTATGCCATAATTAACAAGACCCCTGAAATTCTGCAGACTCTGCCTTCTGGAATTTCTCACAAGTCAACGTTAGATAATTGAATGTTATGGCCACTGTGAGTCGGCGTGGTTCTTAAGGCAAATAGAGCTGGTGGCAGGTCAGCTGCAGCTTTGCATTTTAGCACAAGGGGGATGGATGTGAGCACCCTGAGGACAGGGACCATTTCTGTCTTGTTCATGACATATTTCCTAACACGGAGTATCCACTCTGTAAATACTTTTCTTAAAAATATTTTATCATGTTGGAACTAATATAGAAGGGAAATAGATAATTTTTCTCCTCCTGAAGTTACCAGAAATGACAAGGAAAGGAAAAGATTAGAAAAGTAAAGGAGACCTCATGAAATATATGTCGGAAATGATATATTTGAAAAGTACTTTTTTTCACATGTTCAAGTAAGTTGCAGTTGTTAAATGTATTGAAAAGATATATGTTAGTCACTCAGTTGTGTCTGACTTCTTGCGACCCCATGGACAGTAGCCCACCAGGCTCCTCTGTCCATGGAATTCTCCAGGCAAAAATATTGGAGTGGGTAGACATTCCCTTCTCCAGAGGATCTTCCCAGGCCCAGGGATTGAAGCCAGTTTCCTTTCATTGCAGGTGGATTCTTTACTATCTGATCCACCAGGGAAGCCCTATCTAAAAGATAAGCCCTGTTATTTGCAGGTTTGCTCTTTATCATTACTAGTATTTGGGGTGATACCACACTGTGGCTCCCCCTTTCTTAAAGCTATTCATATAAATGATGCTGAAAATAATTCCTTAGGAGGACACGAGAGGGGGATCTGTTCAGTATACATTTAGTTTATTACTCCATTCAGCTTCCTAGTTTTAGAATAATGGGAATAGGGACTTTCCTGTGGTCCTATGGTTAAGACTCTGTGCTTCTGCTTTAATCCCTGGTCAGGGAACTAAGAAACTGCAAGGTGTATCCAAAAAATAATAATAATAATGGGGATCACATTTTATGACTAATCATTCTGTTGTGCAGGTAATCACAGATGATGAAATAATTGAATTTATCTTATTATTAATGCACATATTTCATCAATATTAAAACTAATAAAAGTAGAATTATTATATATTTTTAAAAGTTATAAAAACTGTAGCCAAAAAGTAAGGTGGGAATATGTTCATATCAGAGACCTCAAACATAAATAATTATTACAAATTAATACCAACTTAATCTTCTAGAAACCAAGCCAAGAAGAGAAGAATGTTGAGCATCATGTTTCTTTGTATCTATCAAGTGGGGAAAAAAAATCTCAGTTATCCAGTCAAATGAATTTCTTCACTGTGGCAATTGCATGTTTTGTTTTTATAATAAACACGTAAGATGCTTCCCTGTTGACTTCCAAATCTTCCTGAAATGCAGGAGACCTTGGTTTGAACCCTGGGTTGGGAAGTTACCCTGGAGAAGGAAATGGCAACCCACTCCAGTATTCTTGCCTGGGGAATTTCATGGAGAGAGGATCCTGGTGGACTACAGTCCATTGGGTCACAAACAGTTGGACACGACTGAGCAAATAAGTTTCACTTTTAAAGAAATATTTTCTAATTAGTTGCAAAAAGGATAGTGATCATCTGTTTTATAAAAGATGTAGAAAAAAATTTTCAGTCATCAAGAGAACCAGCTAACTTTTGTAAGGTCCAGTTTTGTGATGTTTTTGGATGTATGGGGAGCAATAGAGTCCAGGTGTGTGTGACGTTCTGCTGATGTGACTTGGTTGATGGAAGGACCTGGGGAGGCAGAAGAGGAATGATGAGCTCCATCCAGTCTTCTGTGAAGACAAGGCTTCACACATTTTATGGTTTGAGCCTGCCCATGAAATTGGGTCATTCGAGAGTCTTACTGAAAAGCAGCTCTCTGGTACATTCAACAAGGAGTTGTTCCAGAAGGAACACTTAACAGAGATTTTTGCCTGGGGAAGGGCCATTTCACATCCATTTGGAAGTGGAGAGAAGGGCACCTCTTGAGGCTTTTTTCAAGAAGGAGTACAGGATTTTCTCAATATTTGAGCTGGAGAGTCTGAGAACTTTGGCATCATCTCTGTGGAATATGTGGATTTTCCTGCATTCTAGTACTCTGCAATAAGTTAGACACTAAATTCAATCCAGATATCCCTTCTGATACACCCCAGGTAACCAAATGTGGTGGCCAGTTGATTAGAACTGTTTATGTTCTCTCTAGGTGGTGGGTCTGTGCCTTAAATGATAACACCACTGTTTTCTCTAAATAGTAATGGAAAGTATGTTTTAGGGTTTCCCAGGTGGCTCAGTGATAAAAGGATCTGCCTGCCAATGCAGGAGATGCAGGAGAAATGGGTTCAGTCCCTAGGTTGGGAAGATTTCCTGGAAGAGGAAATGGCAACCCAGTCCAGTATTCTTGCCTGGATAATCCCATGGACAGAAGAGCTTGGTGGGCTACAGTCCATGAGGTCAGAAAGAGTCAGACACAACTGAGCGGCTGAGTGAGGGAGAGTATATCTTCAGGTCCCTGCTGGAGCCACCAGCCAAAAGGACACCTGACTGCTGTGGCCAGAAGGCATAAGCCTGCTTCATCCCTGTGCTCTGAAGGACCACTGATGTCCTGAGGTTTAGTTTCAGATCCTACTCCTAACTGCCTCTGGAAGCTTAGGTTGACATTTTCATCTTAATGACATTTGGCAGCTAATTATAATAGGGTTTTGAGGGGCACATTTTTGCAAAGGTGAGCATAGCAATGGACAAGTACATAAAACCAGGGTGACATTTGGTTGCATTTCCCTAACCAGTTTTTTGCCTTTGGCAGTGCCTGAATGATGAAGTTGTATCCAAATTCTGTCTGAAAGGTGCTGGGATCAACTAGCAAGGTCTGCTACAAGCATTTCTAGGGGAGGGTTAGGATGTGTGTCAGGTGTATTAGTACCATGGATCTTCAAGTCTGCTGTTTTAAGGAGTTCTCATACTAGATTCCCAGGAACTTTGTTCAGTAAGATGTGCAGTAGTGGTGAAGGTTGTTGGATGGTACCTGAGGGTTTTCTGAACATAAATAACAGTATGGAGAAAAATGCACATCGTCACACACAAGCATCCTTAACCCTGATAATTCTCCCTCTGAGACGCTGCTATTGTGATTAAAAGTACAACCTTGGGATTAAGAAATATGTCTCACACCCAGGTCTGTCACTTTGGTGGATTAATATAGTTAATCTTGGACAGTCAGTGCTCTTAATCCCTCAGACTCTGGTGTTCTCATGAGGATTTCTTGAACTGATGCTTGTGAAGTACTTGCTGGTCATGACCAAAGGCACTGGAACCTTGAACATGAGGCAATCAAGAACTTACTCATGACTAGCAGATCTCACGTAGCTTGAATGATCATCTGCAGCAGGGCTGTCAGCTTGGGGTCATCCTGCCCAGGAAGATCTGCAGTACTGGTGGGGTGTGTCCCCAAGTGTCCTCAGGGCTGTGGGAACCACAGACGTCAGTCCTGTGAACTGTAGGGTTACGTGTGTCTGTGACTGTGGACTGACACCATGACTGTGACATAGTCTGCTTCAGTATGGCGAGCTCAGTGCTTGGGGGAAAAGTGTTACTTTGGACAACACAGCACCAGAGCCTTGATATCCCCTCCCGCCCTGTACTAGCTGATTTTCTATGCAGACCCTCCAGTTCACTCATCCTGGCATCCTGCTCAGCCCTAAATGGGGTTTGAGAGAAGCAGGATAGATTTTTACAGGCCCAGATTCCTCCAGCCTGTAACTCTTGGGCATGAGGTGAGGTAGGTGATGGGCGTTTGGTTACCTGGTATTCAAGGCTGAGATGACACCTGGTTTCTAAAGTCAATCCTGACCTCCATCCCTGCAGGAGAGAATCAGCTGCACTTTGATCTCCTGACAGGGAAGCAGGTGAGGGAGGCCACACTGAAGAGTTCATTCCAGACGCTTCCTGGAGGGACAGCCATGTCTACTTCCTCCTCAGAAGCCTTGTCTGTGATGGATAGTGTTGATGACACCTCATTTGCTCAGGAAATGAGAGCCTGGTTCTAGAGAGTTTTCTGTGCTCTCTGGAGCTGGACTCTCGCCATCCTTCTGACAGGGTGATGGGCCCTGAAATACCCCTGAGTCGTCCCTGTGAGCACCCTACTTCCAGACCAAGTCCTGGGGGTGGGTTGGGACACCTGCTGGGCTGCAGAAAAGGCCTAAACACAGTCTCTTGCCTTTATTATTTGGAACATGAGCTCCATCTGAGTTTATTTTGCTCTTATAAGCACAATGTTTTAGGAAGCTAAAAAGTTAGTCAGTACAGTAAAGAGAGAGAGCAGTGTGGATGCTGGAATGAGAACACAGGTACTAAACTGGATGAACAAAGGCACCACCGAGTCACTTTCAGCTCTTTGCGTGAACAAAGGACAAAGGGAAAGTGTTAGATCATGTCATGGTTCAGAGATCTAGCAGGGCAGTTATGAAAGCATCCATCAGGTTCCTGGAGTGGAAGTCAAGACTGTTCAAAGACTCCTCATCTGCCGGGTCCTGTGGGCACAAGGGCGGTGCAGTACCGGGTGCTCCGTGACCCGCACAGAGACTCCTGGCGCAGGTGCAGGGAGAGTCCCCGGATGGGGGAGACGGCAGACTGTCCGCTCCCCTTGCTCGTCTCACCCTGTCCTGGGTCTGGCTCTGGTCCAGGGTGGGGGAGGTACCGACTCTATCCCAGCCCTTAGGCTACTCATCTAAGGAGGAGACACCACACATAGAGCTCATTAAAATTCAGTGTGGTGAGGACCCTGATGAGAATTAAATTTTAGAATGCTACTGATTCAAAAATTAGTGAACAATGAAAAAGAATGAAATATCACCATTTGAAGCAACATGGATGGACTTAGAGAATATTATTTTAAAAAGTCAGAGAATACAAATATGGTATCACTTATACATGGAATCTAAAAATAATACAAACGAACCTGTACACAAAATAGAAATAGACTCAGAGACATAGAAAACAAACTTACCAAAGGGGGTTGGGAGGGAGGGAGGAACAAAGTAGAAATATGGGATTAATGGACACACTATTATTTGTCAAACAGTTATGCAACAAGGATTTACTGTAAAGCACAGGAAATTTAATTCAGCATCTCATAATAACCTGTAATGAAGTATAATCAAAAAAATAACTGAATGACTCTACTATATACCTGAAACTAACACATTATTGTAAATCAACTATACTTCAATAATTTTTTAAAAAATTGTGAACAATTTCCACCTGGGGAGATGCCAGAAGAATTTGGAGGGAGGTATGTTTGAGAGGACCTTGGTTAAAGACCTGGAAAGAATTTCTTTATCTAAGTCTAGCTGTGAATGAATTTGGTCAAACATAGTTTCAAAGAGAATCTTTCATTCCCAGGTGATTAAAGTGAAACCTGATGTGAGCAGGAGTGAGGGTCACATGGAGGATTCCTATTGGTGGGACGTGTGACCACAGAGTCCAGGAGTCAGTGGGTTTCCTCGCCTCCAGCCTCCCTGACCCTGTTGTGTGTCTGTCTCTGCTTCCCCAGCACGGAGCCCAGTGTTTTCCCACTTAGCATCTTCTCTGCGGGGACTCTGGACCATCCGGGCATACAAAGCTGAACAGAGGTTTCAGGAGCTGTTCGATGCATATCAGGATTTGCACTCAGGTCTGTAAGTTTCTGGAAATGATTTCAGATGGGATGTGCTGCCTTCTGAGGCCTGACCTCCATCTCAGGTGGTCTAGTAGGTCAGCACCTCTCTCTCTGTCACCCCCATGTCCCCCTCTGCACACCTGCCTCCCCCACCCTTCCTCTCAGCATCCCCTGTGCTCCCTTCTTCCCTATCACTCCCTGCTTTTCTCCCCTGACTGGCTTGCATTGTCCTTCCATCACTGTGCCCTGTGGACTTCTGTCTCTTTAGGGCAGGACTCAGTAAAATTTTCTTTTTTGCAAAGATCCAAATAGAAAATATTCTACATTTTGTGTGCTATACTGTGTCTGTTGCAACTATTCACTTTGACTGTTGTAGCACAAAGACAAGCAAAGATAATACGTCAGCAAATGTCTGTTTTCTAATAAAATTTTCTTTTCAGAACCAGGTGGTCACTATTCTTGTCCCCCAGGCTGTAGTTTGCCAATTCTTTTCACAGCATGGAGGGTAGCAGATGTGATTGACAAAACTAATTTCCTGAGTTGCCACCCACTTGATTATACTTTGTATCGGTGAAGTTGTTTTTCCTAGGTAGAAAATTCAGAATTTACCCTAAGTCTATAAAATCCTGGTCAAACTTTTCAATTGCTACTGCATTTTGAAGATAAAATGGCATTTTGAAAACCACATGCAGATCCTGTTAGCTGATGGTCATATAGACACTGGCTCCTAAGAATAAACACTGTAGGGCCCTGTGGTAAGTGCTGAAGGTGCTGGAAACAGTGTGAGCTCTGCTGTCTGCTGTCTGAGAGCTGGGAACAGTTGATATGTGAGAGAGGATGGTCTTCACACTGAGGCCCAGCACTGCAGAAAATGCACCAATGAGACGATTTTCCATCCTCTTTACTTGTGATCGTATTTCTGTTGATAACCGGTGGATTGATGTTTTCAATGCATGCTTCCTGGACTGATTCCTGTGTGTCTCATACCTTGTCTTGGGTTAGAACCTAGTTTTCTGGAATCTTCAGTTTCCTTGAATGTGTGACTTTGCTGTCCTATCTTGTGTAAAATCTTCTGTTCCTTAACTGAGGAATCTCCCTCCTTAGAAGCAGCTAACATGGTTTTTCTGTTTATATATTATGCTTATTACGGTTCACAAATGCAGAGGCTTGGTTCCTGCTTTTGACGACATCCCGATGGCTTGCTGTGTATCTAGATGTCATCTGTGCCATCTTTGTCACTGTTGTTGCCTTTGGGGCCCTGATTCTGGTAGAAAGTAAGTAAACATATGAATATTTGTAGTATATTTACAGTTTATAGCTTTGTAGTTATTAAACTCTTGCCATCTTGTCTAATATATACTGCTTGGTTCTAATGAATTAAAGTGTTTGCAGCATGTGACTCCACCAGTCCTTGTGAACTCATTTGTGTTGTGATGAGAACTTTCATCTTTTTTTCTATTACTTATTTATTTACAGTAGGTCCTTGTTGAAACGTCTTTAAAAAAATTTTGATTGGTGTATAGTTGATTTATGATGTTGTGTTAGCTTCAGGTGTACAGCCAAGTGAATCTGTTATATGTATATCCACTTTATAAAAGATTCTTTTACCATATCCCATGGACATTGGGGTGCATGTATCTTTTTTTTAGTAATTTACATTTTAATTAATATTTCAAATAAATTTTCCTTTAGAAAAGAATTTCTGTTTTGTACTTTCAGAATCTTTAAGAGAAAAGACCAGATATGAAAATGCCTCCAGCAGATCTGTGGTGTCTTGGGCCCCTGCTTTGGCTGACTCAGACCATTCTTTTTATTGGTTTATTCAAGTTTTATTGGTTTACACAGTTGTCTTAGTTTATGGTGTATAGCAAAATGAATCTGAAATATGTATACATATATACACTCCTTTTTTGATTCTTTTCCTATATAGGTCATTACAGAGTTCCCTGTACTTTACATTTGATTCTTATTAGTTATCTATTTTAATATTTTGTATATAGTAGTATGTATGTGTCAATCCCAGTATTTCAATTTATCCCTCCCTTCCCTTATCCCCTGGTAAGCATATTTTCTACATCTGTGACTCTATTTATGTTTTTTTTTCTTTTTTTTTCCTTTATTTTTATTAGTTGGAGGCTAATTACTTTACAATATTGTAGTGGTTTTTGTCATACACTGACATGAATCAGCCATGGATTTACAAGTATTCCCCATCCTGATCCCCCCTCCCACCTCCTTCTCCACCCGATTCCTCTGGGTCTTCCTAGTGCACCAGTTTTGTAGATAAGTTCACTTGTTGCCTTTTGTTAGAATTCATGTATAAGCAATATCATATTCTATGTTTCTCTGTCTGACATAGTTCACTTAGTATGAAAATCTCTAGGTCTATCCATGTTGCTGCAAATAGCATTATTTTGCCCCTTGTTATGGCTGGGTAATAATCCATTGTATATATGATACCACACATCTTCCTTACCCATTGCTCTGTTGATGGATATTTAGGTTGCTTCCATGTCCTGGCTCAGAGAAGGCAATGGCAACCCACTCCAGTACTCTTGCCTGGAAAATCCCATGGAGGCAGGAGCCTGGTAGGCTGCATTCCGTGGAATCGCAAAGAGTAGGACACGACTGAGCGACTTTACTTTCACTTTTCACTCTCATGCATTGGAGAAGGAATGGCAACCCACTCCAGTGTTCTTGCCTAGAGAATCCCAGGGACTGTGGAGCCTGGTGGGCTGCCATCTATGGGGTCACACAGAGTCGGACACGACTGAAGCAACTTAGCCGCAGCAGCAGCATGTCCTGGGTATTGTAAATAGAGCTGCAGTGAACATTAGGGTGCATGTAGGAATTGTGGTTTTCTCTGGATATATGCCCAGGAATGGGATTGCTGGATCACATCGTAGCTCTGGTTTTAGTTTGTAAAGGAACTTCCATATCATTCTCCATAGTGATTGTACCAGTTTACATTCCCAGCAACAGTGTAGGAGAGTTCCCTTTCCTTCACATCCTCTCCAGCATCTATTGTTTGTAGACTGGTTGATGATGGTCATACTGACCAGTGTGAGGTGAGAGATGTTGACCATCTTTTCATGTGCTTTTTGGCCATCTGTATGTCTTCGTTGGAGAGTGTCTGTTTTAGTCTTCTGCCCAATTTTTGATTGAGATTTTTTTATATTGAATTGCATGAACTGTTTGTGTATTTCAGAGAGTAATCCCTTGTCAGTCACTTTGTTTGCAAATATTTTTCCCCATTCTGCAGGTTGTCTTTTCAGTATTGTTTATGGTGTTCTTTGCTGTACAAAATCTTTTAAGCTTAATTAAGTCCCATTAGTTTATCTTTTATTTTCATTACTCTAGGAGGTTGATCAAAAAAGATCTTGCTGCAATTTATGTCAGAGAGAATCCTCCCTATGTTTTCATCTAAGAGTTATATATTGTCTGGTGTTACATATATGTCTATAATCCATTTTGAGTTTCTTTTTGTGTATGGTGTTAGGGAGTGTTCTAATTTTATTCTTTTACACATAGCTGTCCTATCTTCCCAGCACCACTTATTGAAGAGACTGTCTTTTCTCCACTATATATTCTTGCCTCCTTTGTCATAGGTGACACATGTGCGTGGGTTTATCTCTGGACTTTCTATCCTGTTCTATTGATCTGTATTTCTGGTTTTGGTGCCAGTAGCATATTGTTTCAATTACTGTAGCTTTGTAGTATAGTCTGAAGACAAGGAGCCTGATTCTACCCAGCTTCAATTTTCTACTTTGTTTTTCTCAAGATTGCATTGGCTTTTCATGGTATTTTGTGTTTCCATACAAAATATAAATGTTTCTTTCTAATTCTGTGAAAAATGCCACTGGTAATTTGATAGGGATTGCACTGAATCTGTAGATTACTTTGGGTGGTTTGTTTATTTATTTACTGGTATTTGTTGAGATATTTGTTGAGAATATCTTTTTATCTTTTTGTCTTTCTTTAAATTGCTTGAGGTCCATGCAGCTGTAGTAAGCTGACCTTCTGAACATTCCACGTGGTGTCCTGTACGTGGATGTAGAGAACCAAATTTACTATTAAGCTTTTTGTACAGCTTAGGGTTTAGGTTTAACTTTAGGGCTACTTGGATCTCTTGGTTGTAGGCGTCTGGTGAACTGGGGAGAGAAAGATTCTCTGTAGCAAAGAACAGTGTCCTCACTGCTGTGTGGGTACCAGATGAGCAGCTATTGGAGTCCACAGCATGAATTCACCATCCCTAACTATTCCATGGTAATAACCCTGAATCACAGTCTTTGTAATGGAACGAGGGTCATACTTCAGATTTAAAAGCACTGGCTGGATTTACATGTATTCCCCATCCCGGTCCCCCTTCCCACCTCCCTCTCCACCCTATCCTCCATGGCTAATTCATTTCAATGTATGACAAAAACCACTGCAATGATGTAAAGTAATTAGCCTCCAACTAATAAAAATAAATGAAAAAAAAAAAGAAAAGAAATAATGAGAAAAAAATAAAAAAATAAAAAATAATAAAAAATAAAATAAAATAAAAGCACTGGCTGTTAGAACCCATTGCCTTGTTTTTGTGGTTGCAGCTGCAACTACATTGGCTGTAGAAAGTGAAATTTTATAATGAAAATTGGAGCCATAAGAACAAAAATCTGAATAATGACATATGAAAGTGAAAGTCACTCAGTTATGTCTGACTCTTTGCAACCCCATGGACTGTTACCTGCCAGGCTTATCTGTCCATGGAGTTCTCCAGGCAAGAATACTGGATTGGGTTGCCATTTGCTTCTCCAGGGGATCTTACTGACCCAGGGTCTCCTGCATTGCAGGCAGATTCTTTACCAGCTGAGCCACCAGGAATGACCTTGAATAATGACATGACCCTCACCTGTATAAAACTGTAAAGTATATCTCAATCCAGTTAGAATTAATAGGATAAATGACAGAAATCATAAGGACCTACGAGAAACAGAAGAGACTAGGAAGAACTGGCAATAATACACAGAAGAACTGTACAGAAAAGATCTTAATGATCTGGATAACCATGATGGTGTGGTTACTCACCTAGAGCCAGACTTCCTGGAGTGTGAAGTCAAGTGGGCCTTTGGAAGCATTACTATGAACAAAGCTAGTGGATGTGATGGAATTACAGTTGAGCTATTTCAAATCCTGAAAGATGATGCTGTGAAAGTGCTGCACTCAATATGTCAGCAAATTTGGAAAACTCAGCACTGGCCACAGGACTGGAAAAGGTCAGTTTTCATTCTAATCCCTAAGAAAGGCAATCCCAAAGAATGCTCAAACTACCGCACAATTGCACTCATCTCACACGGTAGTAAAGTAGTGCTCAAAATTCGCCAAGCCAGGCTTCAGCAATACATGAACCGAGAACTTCCAGATATTCAGGCTGGTTTTAGAAAAGGCAGAGGAACCAGAGATCAAATTGCCAACATCTGCGGGATCATTGAAAAAGCAAGAGAGTTCCAGAGAAACATCCATTTCTGCTTTATTGACTACACCAAAGCCTTCGACTGTGTGGATCACAATAAACTGTGGAAAATTCTGAAAGAGATGGGAATACCAGACCACCTGACCTGCCTCTTGAGAAACCTGTATGCAGGTCAGGAAGCAACAGTTAGAACTGGACTTGGAACAACAGACTGGTTCCAAATAGGAAAAGGAGTACGTCAAGGCTGTATATTGTCACCCTGCTTATTTAACTTATATGCAGAGTACATCTGAGAAATGCTGGGCTGGAAGAAGCACAAGCTGGAATCAAGATTGCCGGGAGAAATATCAATAACCTCAGATATGCAGATGACACCACCCTTATGGCAGAGAGTGAAGAGCAACTGAAAAGCCTCTTGATGAAAGTGAAGGAGGAGAGTGAAAAAGTTGGCTTAAAGCTTAACATTCAGAAAACTAAGATCATGGCATCTGGTCCCATCACCTCATGGGAAATAGATGGGGAAACAGTGGAAACAGTGTCAGACTTTATTTTTTGGGGCTCCAAAATCACCGCAGATGGTGACTGCAGCCATGAAATTAAAAGACGCTTACTCCTTGGAAGGAAAGTTATGACCAACCTAGATAGCATATTAAAAAGCAGAGACATTACTTTGCCAACAAAGGTCTGTCTGGTCAAGGCTATGGTTTTTCCAGTGGTCATGTATGGATGTGAGAGTTGGACTGTGAAGAAAGCTGAGTGCCAAAAAATTGATGCTTCTGAACTGTGATGTTGGAGAAGACTCTTGAGAGTCCCTTGGACTGCAAGGAGATCCAACTAGTCCATCCTAAAGGAGATCAGTCCTAGGTGTTCATTGGAAGGACTGATGCTAAAGCTGAAACTCCAATACTTTGGCCACCTCATGCGAAGAGTTGACTCATTGGAAAAGACCCTGATGCTGGGAGGGATTGGGGGCAGGAGGAGGAGGGGACAACAGAGGATGAGATGGCTGGATGGCATCACCGACTCGATGGGCATGAGTTTGAGTAAGCTCCGAGAGTTGGTGATGGACAGGGAGGCCTGGCGTGCTGCAATTCATGGGGTTGCAAAGAGTCGGACACGACTGAGCGACTGAACTGAACTGTACTGAATGACATATATGGGCAAAATAACTTTAAAAGGGTGGATTTTATATATATGTGTGTATATATATATATGTATATATATATGGCTAATTCACATTTCTGTACACCTGAAACTAACACAACTTTGCAAATCAACTATGCTCCATTAAAACTCATAAAAATAAAGGACTCTTCTTCATAAAGTGATGAAGGAGCTGTGTGAGGGGTTGAGAAGGAGATTGATTTGATTCCTTTTCTTCCTCATTTAGCTTTGGATCGCGGGCAGGTTGGCCTGGTGCTGTCTCTCACCGTCACACTCACGGGGATGTTCCAGTGGTGCGTCAGGCAAAGTGCTGAAGTGGAGAATATGGTGATGTTTATCTTTCCATTCTTAGCATTTTCAAGTCTCCTTGCTGTTAAATGGCATAAAAGCAATTCTTATGTCAAGTAGTAAAACTATTATTTTTACATCTTAGTTAGCAAAGTTTTTTAACATTCTTCTCCATCTGCTTAAAGTTAATGTAAAATAAAATATATACATCTTTTCTCAGTCTTACATGTACCGTGTCAGAAGGTTTTATATTCATCACAAACTGTCCTCAAATACAATAAATGTCTCTGTAGGAGAGAGGTTCTGAAATCCTGGAGAGAAGCTAATTTCTTAGCAGCTTGTTTTTCTTTGTTTCTTAATGGGTGATTCCTCATATTTTATAAAATAAAGAATTCAGTGTTTTGAGGTTTCTTTAATTAATATGTTCCTATCTTCTGCCCCTCCCCCATTTTATCATTTATTCTTGTATGTGCTGAACACCTGAATTTTCTGGTGGCCCTTCTTTCTGGTAGGATAAGCTCCCTCTCAGAAAGTGCTCTCAAAGATGTGGAGTCATGGTTTAGGAGGCCTTGGTCAATATGTAAATTATGCACTTTTGAATATTTGCAGCTTCTCCTAAAGGAAGAAAAACAATCAAAATGAAATCTTTCCACTTCTCTCTTCTAATAGAATAGAAAATGACTAATAATTAAATGGAGGTTTGATGACCATCCAGTTCTGTTATCTGGTGTAATACATGACCCTTCTGTAGCCACACATTACTGATTGGTGTCCATAAATATTCTTTTCTTTGACAAAATGCTCTTGTTTTTCATTCAGGTGTGAAAAGTGGATCAATAAAATCTTACTATTGATTTCTCTAATTCTTTTAGTGTTAATATAAAGTTGGAGGAAGTGGCTGAAGTAAAAGTATTGAAGATGACGAACAAATTTGTAAATCATCCAAGGCCTCATAAAACTCCTGTTTCTGTCTTTTGTTAATGCTAAAACCTGGGATATTCTGAACCATATAAAATCAGATATAAAGATAAAAACAAAATGTCTCATACAGTCTCTGAACATCCATAAACAAGACTCTCTGATACTAACTCATGTGATGTCATATGTGTTTCAGATGATTTCAGTAGAAAGAGTGATTGAATATACAGACCTTAAGAAAGAAGCGCCCTGGGAATATGAGTATCGTCCACCACCATCCTGGCCCTATGGAGGAGAGATTTACTTTCATTATATTAACTTCAGGTACAGCTTTGATGGGCCTCTGGTATTGAAGAACCTGGACACGCTCATTGACCCAAGAGAAAAGGTTAGTTTAAGCCATTTGCCTCTTTAAAACCCAGCTAAAGATTTAGCACCACGTCTGCTCTTGGCTTCCTTGTCAGTGTGTCGGAGGGGAGGGCTCTTTGTACCTCATGGGTGCAGATTTAATCAGTGATATGTGGGTGAATCTTGCTTGGAAACTGACCATGGAATGGGGATACAAGCATTTTTTAATCCCCTGTATTGTGAGCTCCCTCATGGTGGCTGGTGGGCCCTGGGCTCCTGGGCTCAATTTTAACCTGACCCAGGACACTATATGTGACACCTGATTATTCATACAAAGTCTTAGGAGTCAGTCCTAGCTCCCTGTCCCTAATTCTCCAGTATCTTCTTTCCATCTTTTCTTCTTTGTGTTTCTGAAATCTTCTCTTCCTCCCACGGTGCCCTCTGGTTGCAGCCTGCTCCTCTGTCCCTTGGTCTTTCCTGTAGACTTCTCCTCCTACACATCCACGCTGAGCTGCCATGGCCCTGCCCTCCCCCGACAGACTGCTTCTTTCTTTAGCACAGATCTGATCCTTACTGGGCTGGGAGAGCTGCTGCAGAGCCAAAGCACAGCCCCAAGTCCTCTCCAGCAGGGGCCGTGGGGTGAGCTCCTTGTTACAAGAGGAGAGCCTGAATCATGACTCAGTCAGGGGTGAGGAATCAGGGCTTTTGATGGAGGCAGGGCCTAGAGATTTGCTCAAAGTCAAAAGCAGATTGAACAGAGCAGGGAAGATCCACATGGGAGATGGCAGAGGCTTGTGACCTGAACCTGCCAGTGTCCACATCTGCTGTGATGTTCCTTCATACTCAACTTGAGGCCCTTGGCCTGGACCAGGGCAGAGTCTTGAAGAAGAGAATAAACCAGAGCAGACAAGTTGGTAGGAAGCTCCTCTTCACCTCCCTCTGCAGCCAGAACGTCTCCTGACTTATACCCACCACACACTCGGGTTGTGTGTTGGCTCTCCCAAAGCGTCACATCCTCCCAGCTTCCAGTGTGCAGTCTGCCCTCTGCCTCAGAGACCTTCCCCTCTGTCATCTGTATGGTGAAAGTCTCCTCATTTTCTGAGGTGACTCTAATGCATCTACAAGACTCTCAGTTCTTCCTCAGTGTCTTATATATTCTTTTTTTTTTTTTTACATTTTCACTTTATTAAGATACTGCGTAGATACAGAGCATTTGGGCACATCCATTCTTAAGGCACTGTCCTGGTTTGAATGCAATTCCACAAGAGAGAAAAGAAAAGCCATTACATTCAGTATTATTTACTTCTACATTCAGACTCCTCCCGTGTTCCATGTTTATTGCTACTGGGATCTCAATTTTATCCCCAAACTTATAGCAGCATCATACTGGGACCTGGATGACAAAAATGAAGGACACATCCTGGCTCTAGTACTTGGTATGAATTGACACTTAACTACAAACTCTCTTGCACTGCCCTCCATTTGTTTCCCAACTCTTGTTTAACTAAAGATATTATAAACTCTTTATGAATTAATTTTTAATAGTTTCCATTAAGCCTAGAACAGGACTAGTTAGGTACATAGTATGTACCCCCACAATGCTTATGTTAAACATCAGTTGCAAGAACTTTAATGGAATAGAAAAAATATATACTTTCCCTAATTCAAGTTTAAGGAAAGGATGACTGGTATCTTCACAAAGGAAAATACTTGAATGTCCTATTGCTTGCATTTTTTAACAAGGAACTAGGCTGAATGAATATTTTCATGTATTAACAGCTTTAACTGACAGAGTTCTTCCTTTGCTATAGAAACTTGAGTCATTACCACTAGTATATGAAAACATTTGTATAACTAGCAATGTGTGCGTGAGATTACAAGTAAAATTCAAAGAGGTTACAAATCACTGAGCAACACATAAATATCTGAATTACTGACCCTCACCTTCTTAAATGATGTGTTTATGTTACATAAAAAAAAATAAGTGTAAAGATTTTTTCATAACACCCTTGAAGCAACTGGAAATAGCTAGGCTTGGGGACAATCAGGTTATACAGATAGCTTTAGAAATATGTGTTAAAGGCAGTGTGTTCCAAGAATATTTGCAGAATATGAGCTCTGTGGGTTATTATTGGGTATACATGAAAACTGGTCCTGGGGTCAAACAGGATTGCAAAACACTGAGCCAAAAGAGGTACTTTTTCCACCTTCATGAGAGGACCTCTCAGAATCCTCATAGGCTGATGTGCACTGTAAATCTACAAAGCAGAAACAGCAGGAAGGGATTCCCAAAGTTATTTTATAGAAATAGGTGTTCTATGACACACACTTAGGGAGACACTGAATTAAAGAATGGGTAAAATTTTAAAGCACTGAGAGACACACAGTTGAATAGCAAAGGAGAATGAAAAGCAATGGATACTGGTTCCTCAGTCAGTGTAAATTAAATTAGAGTCTACTTGTATGACTTCAACTGGCAAATGGGTTCTTCCACAAAGAGTTGACTTATCCTGGGAACAAAATAAATCATCAAACCAATACTCAGCTCTGAGCAGCATCACCCCAGACTGCCAACTAAGCAGATTAGTCAACTTTGCACAATTCAAAAGTAAAGATTAAAATTCTAATTTCTTCAAAAACAAAAATTTCGATGGAAAGAACCCAGTTCATAGCAGGCAAACGAACTTCTCTTCATCCATGTCTTCCTAACACATTTTTATTATTTCATAAAATACACTGCCTCCTTTGTTGCCACTTGGGACACACATAAAGTGTTAAACTAATATAATCACTTTTAATAATGACAGCAGAATAATTATGGTAATACTGTAATAGATATGCCAAATAAATATGATAATCCATTATGTTGACCCTACCCTGAAAAAGATTGCCATTATTTTTATGCTGACATTTATGATATGGTTGGCTTGGTTCACAAAAATTGTCAATGTAATAAAAAATGAGTTGCAGAGACAGAATAAATCAAATCTATGAAAACTGAAAGAGTAGGTAGATACTCTAGAATTCATATAACTTGGAAGATGGGTTTTTAAAGTAGAAAAAAAAAAAGCTTTTCTTTTCTTACAAGCTCAAACAAAAGAATCCTTCCAAGACAAACAGGCTGCGGCATGTTTAAGGTTTTGTTTTGGGGTTAGTTATCAATCTCTGTAGGATTTGTTTCCTTTAACAATCCTTAAAGAAGTCCTCTGAAGTGGGTGACTTGGTGCATAATAAGGCCTGCTCTCTCTCTGAAGCTTTTAGAACAATGACTGCACTTGTATGGCTTCTCCCCTGTATGAATTCTTAAATGAATAACGAGGCTTGGTCTCTGTCTAAAGCTTTTCCTACAATAATTACATTTAAAAGGTCTCTCTTCAGTGTGTGTTCTCTGGTGCAAAGTAAGAGCTGTCAGCCTACTAAAACTCTTCCCACAATTATGACATCTATGAGGTTTCTCACCCGAATGAGTTTTCAGATGTCTTTTAAGACTTGATCCATGACAAAAGCTTTTCCCACACTCAAGCCATTTATATGTTTCTTCTTCGGAATGGGTTCTCTGGTGCCCTGTAAGGTGTGACTGCCGACTGAATCGCTTTTTACACACAGTGCATTCATAGGGTCTCTCCCCTGTGTGAAGTCGTTGGTGTCTGTAAAGGTCTGAACTACGGAGGAATCTCTTTCCACATTCAGGGCACTTATGAGTTTCCTCTCCTGAATGAATTCTCTTGTGCCCTGTAAGTTGTGACTTTTGAGCAAAACATTTCCCACACTAACTTCGGTGAGGTTTGTTAACCGGACTCTTCTTCTTATGGGGTCTTGGGTTGAGAGGTTCTTCCAAGTTGGAGCTCTCAGGTTTCTCTCCTGCTGAGGGGTTCTGATGCTCTACAAGTTTTGTTAAATCTCTCTGTAAATCCTCTGGAGGGGTTTCCTATTGATTTTCTAACTGTACATAGTCTTTTTGCAAAATGGGGCCATGAAGAGCATTCCCCTCTAAAGTAACAATAAATGGATACATATTCTCCAGTTTTTTCTGTTTTTCTGAAGTATCTTCTTCATTTTCTATTCCAATCTCAAAACCTAACTTGGAATCAAGTAATTGCTTGATTTCTTTGGAATCTTGCAGTTCCTTCACCCATGCCTCTTCTCTATGTTCCAATGGAAAGCTCACGTCAAGTTTTGGTATTGGGTATCCAGGGTTGAGAAAGGGCTGGCCTTCCCCAGCAGCACTGAAGTTCAGCTCCTGTGGCCGGGCTAGTGGGATCCATGCCTCTGCCACTGGGACTTCTGGGGCAGGTCCCATTACTTGGAGTGGGGGTGATTCCAGGTAGATGTTTTGTGGTATGTGTGCTATTCCCACTGGTGCCAGTTCTTCCAAGAGCATTTCCTGCCTATCGAGCTGCTGCTCTGGTATCTCAAGTTCTCTCTGTAAGTCTTCTATCAGTGACACAACTCTTTCTCTGTTCTCTGGGCAACGTTCCCTCACCCAAGTCTCTATCTGTGGGGAGAATCGTTAGGAACTGCTCCAACACCAGCAGCTCCAAAATTTGTTCCTTAGGACGCATCTTTGGCTTCAGCCATTGACAGCAGAGCTCCCAGAGTTTGTTGAAAGCTTCTTGAGGCCCAGCTGCTTCTTTATACTGGAACTGCCGGAAGCGCTGGTGGAAGACCTCACAGTCAGTATCATATTCTTGAAACACTGAGCCCTGATTCAAGGAGGCCTGGATGGCACAACCCAGAGCCACAGCCATTGCCCTCTTCCAGCAATGTGCAATTTATATGAAACTTGAAGTGGCAGATTCCAATTTCTTTACTTCTGTTATTCTCCAGGTGGAGCCACCTATGTATACGTGTATAGCACAGGGAATTATACTCAATATCTTGCAATATCCTATAACACAACATTGTAAATTAACCACACCTCAACAGAAAAAGGGGGCTTCCCTGATAGCTCAGTTGGTGAAGAATCCGCCTGCAGTGCAGGAGACCCTGGTTCAGTTCCTGTGTTGGGAAGATCCAATGGAGAAGGGATAGGCTACCCAT